GAAGCTCCAGGAGTAAAAATCAACTCCGTTAAAAGGTATAGTGGTCTTGATCTGTGTGCTGTTAAGTAAATTCGGCGGCTGAAAAACAATACCCTGTTGTTGAGGCTGTTGCTGTTGTTGAAATTGCTGTGGATGTTGCTGCTGTTGATGTTGTTGCTGATGTTGCTGTTGCTGCTCCTGTTGTTGTTGCTGAGCAGGTGAACGCCTGAAGATGTAAAAGGGTTGCTGCTGCTGAGACTGCGGCTGCTGCGTAAAAGGTGAGAATGCAAATGAGCTAGTACTTGGAGCTGGAGCTCCACGCATGTAAATTGAGCCGTCAAGGCTCATTCCACTAAACGCTGATGATATTGACTGAGTTGAAAACTGCTGCGTTGTTGCCTGTTGTTGTGCTGTTGCCTGTGTTTGCTGTTGTTGCACTGCAGGGGCGGTTGATGAAATCCCTGGAGTACTAACAGAAGAAGGATTTTGCTGCTGCTGCTGCATACCGATGTGCGAATAAGCTGGTGGAAACGGTCCAGAGGCTGAGAGCACAGTGGCAGTCGAGGAAACAGGTACTCCAGTAGTTCCAGAACTAGATCCAGTAGATTGTGCTGGTGTTGTTCCACTCATTGTTGACAGTAGTCCTAATTCCAGACAGCTCTCATGCCATTAATAATTTGACAGGTGTTGTAGGAGACTAAGTATAGAATCTGCAAACATGAACACTTGGAAACCTCAAGTGTTAGCCTAGGATCTTTACTCGAATGGTAGACTAGTAAGACAGCGGAAGTCTTAGAACTTGTAGAGTAATGACCAGAATTTACTGAAGAACAAATTAAGAACAAGTTCAGAATCAAGTCCAGAACCACGTTAACTAAACAATGAAGACAGGCTACTTTTATATATAACAGAAGTACCTGTTTGCTAATGTACCTGTTGACACTATCGCGCTATGCGCCCTAGATGACACTGAAGAGACGCGACTGTTCGCGTGACTGAAACGACTGTCCTCATGACGAGCACTATTTGCTGACGTCATCCTACGGACTTATCTTCTACAGTAGGATTCGACACTATCTATCGATAATCGACTTACATAAATGCTAAATATGAATCATATCACAACAAAGAAAAGCCCAACCCTGATTATTAAGGGTTGGCAAAAAAATATCTTGTGAAATCAAGGAATCAAGGTAAAATACCCTGATACCCTTACCCCATGCCAAATCAGGTCTCATCAGGCAACTGTAAGCCCCATTAGCTACACATCAGGGCGTGTCAAAAGCAGGCCCCCAGAAATCAGGAAATTTTTCCTGATTCTGGAAAAAAACAGGGTGTTGAGGGGTACCGGCCCTGATTTGCTAGGGTTTTGTTTTTGGCATTTCCTGAAAATTCTGGGTTTTTTTGTAAGGGATATCCGTCACCTCAGTTTTTTTTTGTAAGGGATCCTGAAATTTCATACTTGTATCGCGCATGGGTTCTGATTTTGTCAAAGGCATGATTTGCGGGTCCCTCCCGAAATTACAGCGATATGCGCATATTCCCTCATAAATCTGGCCTGATTGATAGGTTCCCGCCTGCAGGCATCACTTGGTGACTCACATGTTGCCGCGCTGCCTAACGGCATTGGTCCTTCTCAAAGTTTGGTTTGAGGGTCGGCCAGCACACAGTTTGGCTGCATGCGTGGATTGGTTGCACATGTAAATGTTGCCGGAATAGCTAATCCCTGTACGCTAGCGATGATGACCCAGCTTCAACACCACACTCTGATTCGACGTCGACGCGCATGGGCCGCGCTTGTTTCGGTCCGGCCCGGATTCAGGAATCCAGGAAGCCAACTGTGCATGGCTGGCAAACTGTTCGCGCCTCGCCATCGTTCCCTTTCCCCCCTGCGTCCTCTTCATATGTTTCTTCCCACTGTTAAAATAGCCACAGTTCAGCCTCTCCCAGCATGACCTCCCCCATGCAGTGTCGTTGTTGTACAACCCCTCCGTCACGCGTCTCTGCTCGTCGACCACCCTAGTGAGCCTCGTCCTCATGCCTGAGTCAGGCGACGTGGGATTGGACGACGATGGCGGCGACATCGGCAGTCACCGTGCCGAAGCCCCCACTGGGCTTGACATGCTCCTTTCAACGCTAGGTAGTTTCCCGAAGGCTCATCGTAACCCTCAGACGAAACAGAATCCCCTATGCGCCTCGTAGTCGGTCGCCTCAACTTCTCAAACTGTTGTCGAGCCGACTTCCGCGCCTAGTCCGGGCCCATGGCTGGCTGATGCTTTTACCTGTAGTCCAGGTTCCGCTACCCCCGTGAAACCTTGCGGTCGATACCGGCAAACCACCCTGTGGAGTTTCCCAGGCGGTCAGCCGACGACGCCACGCCCCTCAGCCATGTGCGAAGATGACGACACGATGGCGACGACCCTTCCGCTGCATCCGACAAGTCTCGATCGCCTGAGGATGTCTACGGTAAAGCCCTCAGCAGGTTTAATACGCGGTGGTCCGAGCGGTTTCTCTTGCTTATGATTTTAAAGAATGACGCTGGATTCCCTGCGTTTAAATGCATTCTATGCCTTGAGCATGCAGAACTCTGAGGGAAAGCCAGCAAACGCGGCACATGGCTGACAGACGCGCAGACGCAGGCATTCAACAGGCACGGGGGGTCTGCCAAGCATCGCCTAGCCGTGACGAAATAGTAGGCGCTGCTGCAGGACGCAACCAACCAGATGCGGATCGACTAGCTTCCCCAAGCCGCAGACCTGGAGAAGGAACGTGTGTCTGCGCTACTTGACGCGCTCTACTTCTGCTGCAAAGGCAACGAGCCGATGGAAAACTGGATCAGGCTTGTGCGCTACCTCGGCAAACATCGGCATGAGCACTTCCCCGAGCAGACCTATGGCACGTACTACAACAGGTATTGTTGTGTGTTGTTTAATTTTGTTTTGCATGCATCTATCATGCATGACGAATGTTTATATTTCAGCATACTAATTATGCGTATGCCCTTCGCTGCTGCAGTTATGGGTTCGGGGAGTTCACACAGTCCATGGCAACCTGACAGCAGACAACACAGTTGGACAACCTTCTCAGGAGCCCGTTCATCGGCTTGAGCATCGATGAGAGCACAGACCGCTGCCGCGGCAAGCACCTCATCATGTTTGCGCACTTCATCCGCGACAACCAACTCGTCTGTGAATACATGGCCCTGCTGAGCGTCGACAAGGCCGACGCTGCTTCTCTGCTCGCTCTACTCCTGTCTCACCTCAATGCCATCGGTGTCGACCTCCGGTGGGCCGTGGGCATAAGCACCGATGGCGCTGCCGTGATGATGGGGTCGAAGGCTGGGCTTGTGACGCGGCTGCGGATGCAGATTCCGCACTTGGTGTCATGTCACTATATTGCGCACAGGTGAGCCTTGTTGTTTATCGCTATTGCACCTCGGGTTAAGTGAACTGGTGGTTTCCGCATGTGCTATGTATATTACCCCACTCCCAAGGCCCAATATGTACCATTTTCTGTTCGTTTTATCCCACCCTCTAGAGAGGCACCGACAGCTAAAGCAGCGGCGGATTCCTTGCCGGCGTTCAAGATGATTGATGATGTCATCAAGGAGCTCGCTGAGTACTTCGGACGCTCCGGCCCATGGCACCAGCGCTTCTTGGACCTGCAGGATATCTTCACATCGACGAACCTCGAACTTCAAGGCATTCATAACATCCGATGGCTCTCCCGCGGTGAGGTTGTCATTAGGCTAGTCTAGGTTCTACCCGCCATCGTCGTCATGCTCTCGGAGTGGACGGACACCCGGCTCTCCAGGATAGTGACAAACTACCGCTTCTGGTTCCTTGTCATGTTCCTTGCTGACGTACTGGAGCAGCTAAACATCCTCAACAAGTCCTTCTAGGAGCGTCAGGTGAGTTTTTCGTTACTGTGACATTAAGTTGTTACTAAATCACCCTGTTTATGTATATACACCTTCCCCGCCCTTCCTCCCCTCCTCTTCCCCGCCCAAACCTCAGCTGGATTACTCGGCCCTCCACGCGCAGATCATCCGAACAACAACCCTGTTGCAGAGCCGCTACGAGGACGGCGAAGACTTCGGCGGGGGACCGAAAGACCGTCTCACCATCTTCCTCACCCGTCACGGCCCGGGCGGGTCTCGCGAGGTCACCGCTGAGGGCGTCGACTCCGACGGCCGTCCGGCTTCCTTTACCTTCGTGCTGCATCAAGATCGTTTGCCCGGTTATCCGGGGGAGGGCGATCACGACGCGTGCCAGGATCTATGCGTGGCGATGGTGACAAGCATGGTGTCGAACTTGAAGGAGCAGCTGAGTGATCTGGGAAAGCTCCCTGGCTGCCGCCTCTTCTCTGTCAACCTCTGGCCCCCTAACTGGGAGAGAGCTGCACGCAAGGCCCAGTGCCTTGACTTGTTCTTCTGCCTCATCTGCCCTGTCATTGCTGCTCTTCCCCAGGCCGACCGAAGCTTTCACGCTGGGCTCACGGCCATGCTGAAGACACCTGACTGGCAGGATTCTTACCCGAACCTGATGAAGCTGTGGATGGCGGTGGCAGTGCTTCCTCTCAGCACCGTGGAGTGTGAGCGTGGATTCTCTTGGCAGAATGTGATTAAGAGCTGGTTGCGTGGCAGCCTTGAAGACACTAGGCGTAGTGACCTGATGTGCATGTCATTGTTAGACTACGACCCGGACTATGATGCTGTGGTGGAGATATGGCGCGCTTACAAGAACCGTAAGCCCTTCAACAGTACCCCTCAGGCCAAGCAAGACGGCTCGAAGAAGGGGAAGGGAGTAGCAGAAGAGGCAAAAGGTGGTGTAGGTAGTGACAATGTAGTCGATCTTGATAATTTCGACGAAACGTCTTTGCTTTTCAATTTCTTCTTCATTTTGCCAATCAGGGAAAAAACACCATCTATCTCTGTCCATTCAGCATTTTTGTCCCACACAATCCTGTCGACTAAGGAAAAAAATTTGGGGACTTCTGAAAAGTCAGGGAAAAAGCCAGGGGCAGTCCTTCTCAATCAAGATGACTTAAAACCAATCTGAGGGCCTGGTCCCAAGTGTTCGTTTGATTAAGGTTGAGTGAGATGCTAGTTCAGTCAGACGGATCAAGTAACATGAAACGGATGGGTAGGGTTTTCTAGGGGAAAAGTACGCTTGGGACACGCCCTTAGCACAACAGCTGATGTGGCCGAATTCTCACCTTGCACTTGCCTAACAACGGTGGTCCGACACGGGGTAGGAGTGCACCCTCTAGACGCCCAAGGCCCACCCCTCTCAGACAACAATGCAATAATCTATCCCATGAACAGTGAAGTAGGGCCCACTGTACAGCTTCGCGGTTACTATGTGAGTCCACTTGCTGGCTGCCGAGCCGGGAACCCCGAAAGCAACAGGCGCGGCATTTGCTGTTGACATTTTCTGAATCTTCTTCCCCAGCCACGTGTCGAACTTCACCGGGCCGAGCTTCTTAAACGCCGCCTCGTTCCAGCGCCCGCGGATCGTCGCGTACTGTAGCACCTGGAAGAGCTTGTCGAGCTGCGTTATAGGCACCTTCTTCATAAGAGCGGTTAGCGCGTCGTTGGTGGCGAGAAGAATTGTGCTGTTGTACACTTGAGTCACGTCGTATTTCTTGGGGGCCTTGGGCACTGGAGGAAGCCGAGAGCGAGGCAGAGTGAAAGATTGGATCAGGCCGTTATGCAATAAACAACGTTGGGTGATAACCGAGGAGTAAACGACGGGTGAACTAACAGAAAACGTGAGTGTAGTTCTCTGAACATTGCGCAGCGAAATGCACACGCATACACGCTATCATTAGTCGGAAGTAGATGCTATGCATCGTCATATTACTACTGCATCGACACACGCTATCCTCCTAGTCTGCGCTCTTCTTAACCTGAATGTACGCGAGCGCCTTGTCTTACTGTGTCACTTCGCATGGTAGTAGCATTGACACTCGAGCTACGGTGACTTGGAAAGTTTATACGACAATTGTGGGTAAGTATGCGATAGAACTTTGTAGGTATACTGAATATAGACCATAAGTCGATGAGGAGCTTACGTAGAGTGCTCGCGAAGCCGGCGATCTTGGTATAGTTGGCGTTCTTCTTGATGATAGTAGCCGCGTACTTAATCTCCGCTATCATCTGGTCGCGGGTGACTTTTCCCGCAGCAGAGACCGAAGGATTTCCCACGAGGTTAACGCTCTCGATGCCGGGGAGAGCTGTGACGAGAAGAAGCAGCGCTGACGAAACGGCTGCTAGCCAGCGGTGCAATCTGCGGCTGGCGGCTCGTCGTGAAACGCTATCTCCCGCGCTTGCCATTCTCGTCACTGGAGTGAGTTTCGAATAGAGAGCTTCAACCTCGCGCACCAGATGATGGAGAAATGGGATAGAACAACTAAGAGTGAGAAAAAATATCGAGCACTGGCAATTGTTGGAAAGTCTCGAAACAAGCGAAGAAATAGTGCTGCCAAAGAAGCACACGGGCACGACAGGTGGTCGAGCCTAGTCCAAGGTGGCGTGGTGACGAGGGAATTTCTTGGCGGTGGGGGATACTGGTGGATTCAACAGTGCGTGGATTGATGGCTGCTGTCGGTGACTCGGTGGCTTTGGGACAAGATTGCGCCGCGGAACGAGACCAAGTGAAACTGCCCTCCCGATTGATGGTTACACCCTATGCGCGAGAGGCTCTACTCTCTTTGAACTGGCTTAGCGTCTCCCAAGCAACTTCTGATGATTTCGCTGATATTCTATTGACGTGGAAATGGAAATGGATTGCTAAGCATTTAGGAACTGGTGTGCTGGGCTGGGTGTCAGAAATATGAAATGCACATTCAAGACAACTCCAAACCTGACAACAGGATCATATGCCTAGTGAATGCCGGTTCGGCGACGACAGCATGCAAAGCGTGTGAGGTCGCATTCCAGGCTGTTACGTTGCGAACAGATTCCACGCTAGTTGTTAAAATTATATAAGTTATAATTTAATATAGGCTTGGTAGGTTGTTACTGAACCTTTCTGTAGAGGGTACAAACCCCTTCTTGTACTCCTCTCTCTTCCTAATCAAACCTCTTTTCTTCTCGACATTTCTCTCCCTTCCTAGATCTTTTTTCCTCACGCCATTCCATGGCGGCCTTCTTCCTAGTATCCTAGCCAACCTAGCCTCCTAAGTTTAAGAACCTTGAGTCCTAAGTTTCTAAGACTAGTAAGGTAGCTACCCTTCATTCATAGAATTCAAGGTAATTTTCAGCATGCGTTCAAAACTTTCCGAGGTAAACATTTCCCTCTTCGGGGCTACCTATATTTCCGAGTTCTGCGATTTCAAATCCGTACGCGAGCAGGGTGGATTCCAAAACAGTCTCGGAAAGTTAAAAGGAAGCGTAAAAATTTCGGGACCTGTTTCGGGGAATTTCTTCATCCACGTACCTCGAGTATTACCCGACGTAGAAGACAATTGCACATCCGAGCAATCCCAAAAGTCTGGAGACGAACACATCTGTTGCTCCTGTGCTACCACGGCACCGGCGTAGATCTCAACCTCACAGCTAGACTGAGCAATAGACGAGGAGCGAGTAGACCTCCACGAGATGGCACCTGAACCAAGGCTAAAGCAGTAGCCCTAGGAGGACCTGAGAGTCTCGACGTCATCTGCCCAAGAAGCGTCTGTGTGCCCAGTAAGGACCACTGGTCTGCGTCCTCCTAGCACTAGCCCCATGCCCGATGTACTTGCTAGATAACGCAAAACCCTCTTAGCTGCCGACCAGTGCTGTGGTCGGGGTCTGCTGGTGGTCACAAAGCGAGCCAGGATGCTGATAGAGTATGCAAGATCTGGAGGAGTGCAAGGTATCAGGTACATGAGGCAACCCACCACCTGCGTAGGGACCACTAGGCTCTACAGCCTCCTCCAGGACTGGAGAAGAGAGTGTGTGGTCTACTGGCAGGCGGGTGGGCTGTGCGGAAGAGAACTAGAGGTCGAACCTTTGAAGGACCTGGCGCACCAAGTGTGACTATGAGAGAGTGATGGTGCACGCTGCTCTGTCCCTGGAGATCTGCAAGCCAAGGTAGCGGCGCAGCTCTCCTAGGTCAGTCAGGTGTGTCTCTTCAGCATCTCGGCCTTCACGGAGGCCATCACTTCTCTGTCTGCAGTAGCAAAGACAAGGTCGTCTACATAGACAAGGATGTAGCACGGAGTCTAGCCGGAATGGACGAAGAGCGAAGGGAAGAAGTGCAGGTCAGCAAGAGTAGCATGCATCGTCTCGTGCCAATTATGGGGCACCTATTGCATGCCGTAGACAGGGCCACTCGGTACCAGGGGAGAAGTACCGGAGAAGCCCTGGGGGCGATGCAGGTAGACCTGCTCGTGTAGACTGCCCTGGAGGAAAGCTGTGGAGAAGTCGAGGGAGTGCAGCTCGTAGTCACGCTCTGTTGCTAAGTGTACTAGTTCCCGAAGCGTAGTCATCGTCAAGGTCGGGCCGAACGTCTGAAAGAAGTCCACCCCCTCACGCTGACTGAAACCTCGAGCAACGTAGCGCGCGTTGAAGACATGCGGCTCTCCAGGAGGGCGCTTCACCTTGAAGAGCCATCGGCCCTCGACTACGTCTACCCCAGGTGGGGGAAATTCGTCGACGTAGGTGCCGGTGGATCTCCAATATGCCATCTCCTGCTCTATGGCAGCTATCCACAGAGAGGCCCAGGGTCCCGAGGTGGCCTCAGCGTAGGTGCAAGGGGTCCGGATGTCAAGGGCGTCTGCGTCACCCTCAGGGACTAGCAGTATGGAACAGAGATGGGGAGCGGCCTCAGACAGGAAAGCAAGCTCGTACTGCCTGTCCTCTAGGACGTCACGGCCAAGGGCAGCCACACCCTGGACGGACGGAGGGCAGGCAGGGTCAGAGACCAAAGTGGTGGCGTAGTAAAGGCGACGGATAGCGGTGAAGTCGGTGACAGCAGCGACAAGAGCCGACAGACTCGAGACAAGAACGGACGGGTCGGTAACAAGAGAGGTAAGGACACGAGGAACAAGGAGAGGCGCAGCACGGAGGAAGTCAGAGAATGGGGGCGGGGCCACAGCAAGAGACGACGCAGGAGGAGACGAGAGGAGCGGAGGAGCATGAGACGCATGGGAGCGAAGCAACATAGGGTGAGACCGCTAAACAGCGGATGTAGGACGAGCACGAGACGGACGACGAGACCAGACGTGAGACGGAGGAGTTGGGTCAAGAGAGAGGAGAGGAGACACATGAGGAGAACGGGGAGGGACACGAGCTAGAGAGGAGTCCAGGGGAGGAAACACAGGGCCGTAGATTTGTGGGGGAGGAGGCGGCGACAATGGAGGAGGCACCGGTAGGCGGCCAGGGGAAGGAAGACCGAGGAGGCGAAGAGCGGACACCGGCGGTGACTGCTGCGAGTGCTGCCCGCTCCAACACCAGAACCTCCAGCGACAGCACAGCTCCGTCCGAGAAGCTCCACGCCAGCACCCCCAGAATGGGAACCCGCTTCAGTACCCGCTCCACCACGCTACCCAGCACCCCCAGAACGCACGAACCCCAGCGGCAGTGATGATAGCGGCTGCGGCCGCGGCGGCGACGGCAGCGGCGGAGGCGGCTGCGGCGATGACAGCAACGGCGGCGACGGGGGAGAAGAGACCGAGGCGGTGAGGGGTGAGGGGAGGGACTCTACAGAGCCGCGAGAGAGTCAGTAGACTCCTCGGCATGGACATCTGGCGGGAGAGGGGTGACATGAGACACACCAGAGGGGGCAGGGAGGTGAGGGGCGGGGGGCGGGCCAACCGGGGGAGGGGGAACCACGAACAGGGAGGGGGTAACTGGGGGACCACGGTAGGGAAAGCGGTGGTAAAAGGAGATGGACTCGTCAAATGTAACGTCACGAGAGTGAAAGAAGCGGTGAGACGGCCGGTGGTAAAAGTGCCAGCCAAACGACTCGAGGGGGAAACCGAGAAAGACACAGGGGACGGTGCGGGTAGTGAGCTTGTCCATGCGAGAGGCACGAACGTGAGCAAGGCAGCACCAGACGTGGAACGCGGACACGTCACTAAGGGACCTGGACCAGAGGGGGTCGGCAAAACCTGCGGCTGCTGAGGGTGCGACCACAGTTTAAGCTGGTGAGTGGCGTAGCGAACAACGAATGGCCACAGAATATGGGGTGCACCGGCATGGATCATGGAGGTACGAGCCACCTCCGTGACCAAACCGTTGCGTCGCTCAGTGACCCCATTCTGCTGCGGGGAGTCCGGCAAGGTGAACGTCTGGGTGATGCCCTCCGCACGACATAAGCGACCAAGGCAGCCAGAGGCGAACTCGCCAGTACGGTCGGAGTAAAGATGCAACACAAGGAGACCTCGTTGAACACGCGCAGAGACAAGCCATGGGATAAGAACGTCAAGCACATCGGCCTTCCGCTTCAGGGGAAACACCGTGGTATAACGCGTATAGTGATCGACAAGCACCAGGAAGTAGCGTTCATAACGCGGCCCATGGACGGGGGCGGGGCCCCAGACGTCCATGTACAGGGTCTGCAGCGGTGCGGCAGTGGGGGAAACGAGGAGTGAGGGGCACGGCGCAGCTGGCCCTCGACGCAGAGCATCTACGGCGGCGCTGGTGAGGAGGGTACGACTCAGGGAGACCTAAGACAAGACCGTGCTGAGACATGTGACGAAGACGTGTGAGGGCAGGGTGACCTAGACGGTGGTGCCACAGAAGCGTCGGGTGAGTAAGCGACTGACACGAGCAAGCCGCAGCAACCTGGGTAGACGCAGCCACCTGGGGAGACGTCCCAACCGGGGGGGACGCGGTGTCCAGTGTGAACAGTCCAGACACCAAGTCCCGGTGGAACGTAGTGAGGGGAGCACCAGTGGCGGCCTCGGTACAGACAGTGTACCGCTCGTGACCAGGGAACGTAGTGGTGACGCCAAGGTCTTGGAGACACCAACACCAACTAGGTTCTTAGAGAATGAGGGGATGTGCAGGCCTGTAAGGGAGCCCGAAGGAAAAGCTGGATAGGGAAGGGTGGTGGAGCTATGGGCGACTACAGGACCTGAGGAAGGGTTTGCAAGGGCAACTGCTGCGGGATCTGCAAGCCGCGTAAGCGTAGTGGAGTCCCAAAAGTAACACCGGGAAGCACCGGATTCCAGGGTGAAGGAGAGTGCGGTAGTGGCGACAGGGGTCGAAGGAGCGAGGGTGGAGCCAAGGCTAAACAAAGTAGGGGATCCTACGCCTGACGGAGCAGGGGAGTCTGACTTGGCACAGTAGGCAACACGGCGTAATAGGAACCAGTCACACTCGAGTCATCGACATACAACACATACAAAGCATAGCTAATCTCATCCATATCCATATCAAAGATCCTAACACAAGGGCGGAGCAGGCCGTGCCAGTCGGGGAGGTCTGGCGCCGAGCCGAAGCGGAGACGAAACAGGTCGTCTAAGCGATTGAAATAACGAGTGGGTCTAGAGGCCATGAGGCCGCGGCGAGGACTGGTCTGGAGCTGGTACTGGCAGCGCCCGTCACTCGAACCACCACCCGACGTCACGCTCAACGCACAACCACTGCGACCACCTCCACTACCGGCGCCAAGCCACTCGGGCGGGAGACGACCGACCCGCCGCTGATGTTGCTGCGGCTGCTGCTGCTGCTGCTGGTCCTGCTGTGGTGCCTGCTGCTGTTGTTGCTGCTGCTGCTCCGAGGCACCAGTCCCAGCCCCCTCGCCTCACGTGCGAGTAACATGCGGCAAAAAATTCAGTTTCACGACGAAGATATTGGCGACAACTTTGGACGGCTGCGACATGCTGTTGGGACGCGATTGGCTGCGCGAATACAACCCGAGCATTGACTGGTGGATGGGCGATTGTCGCATCAAATGGAGTGGCGAGTGGCGACGACTACCCAAGTGGAGCTGTCAAGATTCGACCACATCGACGGTCAGCGCATTGATGATTAAACGAGCCATGATTCGCGGGGTGCAACTGTATGCCGTCCGATGGATCGCATCAACGGCTGTCGACACGCCAATCGACATCGACAAACTCTGCGCAGCTGTCCCGGCTGACTTGGCGATGGTGATTCAGCAACACGTCGACATTTTTCCAGACGACCTACCGGCGGGTTTGCCACCTAAGTGAGCACATGACCACAAAATCGAGCTGGAGCCCTACGCGCAGCCTACTGCTCGGACTCAATGGCGGCTGACTCAGCTCGAGCTGGATGAACTTCGACGCCTGCTGGACTACCTGCTCGAGAAAGGTTTTGTTCGTCCCAGCACCTTAGAGTTTGCAGCTCCCATACTGTTCACCCCGAAGAAAAATGGCGGTCTACTCATGTGTATTGACTACCGCGCCTTGAACCGGGTTACCATCAAGTCTCGCTATCCTATCCCACATGCCGACGAACTCATCAACCAACTTCGCGGAGCCAAATTATTCTCGAAAATTGACCTGCGAGGCGGTTACCACCAAATCCGCGTGAACGAAACTGACCACTACAAGATGGCGTTTCGGACTCGGTACAGGATTTACGAGTACACGGTTATGCACTTTGGCTTAAAAAACGTGCCTTCGACATTCCAGTTAACCTTGAACGATGTTTTTCGACTGCTGGTGGACAAATGCGTCATCGTGTACCTTGACGATATACTGGTCTACATCACTACCCGAGAGCAGCATTTGAATGATATAACCGTAGTTTTCTCTCTCTTGCAGCAGCACTGGCTCATCATCAAGGGCTCTAAGTGCGAGTTTCTAAAACACGAACTGGAGTTTTTGGGCCACGTATTTTCCATCAACGGTGTTAAAATCGACCCCAAGAAGATTGCGACAATCCAAGACTGGAAGCCGCCGAGTAATCTCCGCTGACTTCAGAGTTTCCTAGGGTTTGTGAATTACGTCAGCCGTTTCATTCCAAACATGGCGGGGGTAACTTCCCCTCTCACGGATCTCCTGACTACACCTCCGGTTCTTCGGATTGCAGATCCTCACCGTCCGTTCGAGCTCATCACCGACGCTAGCGATCTGGCCGTTGGCGCAGTACTGTTACAAGACTTTGGCGAAGGCCTCCAACCCGTCGCCTACAAGTCATGAAAGATGAACCCGGCCGAGCAAAATTATCATGTCAACGACAATGAGTTATTTGCAATCGTTCACGCTTTCAAAGTCTGGCGCTGCTACCTGATGGGCGCTGACGTGACAGTCCGAATAGACCACAAGTCGCTACAGTTCATCCGTGCCCAACCGACACTGAATCCCCGACAGATTCGCTGGCTCGACTACCTCGAGTCCAACTTCCACAACAGAGTCACCTACAAACGGGGGGGTAGCAACATCGCTGACCCACTGACCCCCCCTTCAGTCCACACTGCTGCCGTCCTAATTACCCAAGCTAATCCGCTGCTAGCTGGCCTATTCGCCAACGGATACTGTATTGACCCATTCTTCACCACTTATAGTCATCCCCAACTGACGGACAAGCAAGGAGCCTATTACATAAAATCCAGTACCAATCGGAATTGGGTTCTCGCCTACCGTACCCTACGGGAATTACTGATCCAGGAGGCACATTACTCGAATTTATCCGATCACTACGGCATCGACAACCTGAGCCGTCATTATTACTGACCCGATTTGCTGACAGACGTGCAGCTGTACGTCACCTTCTGCGCCACGTGTCAACGCATGAAGTCTTCCCAGCTTCGACCTGCTGGATTGCTGCAGCCACTCGAGCCACCCAGCAGACCCTGGCAACAAGTGACGATGGATTTCGTTACTGGCGTGCCAGCTGGTCAAAGCGGTAACGACGCGATTCTCGTCGTCGTTGACCGGTTGACCAAGATGGCCCACTTCGCCATCAGCAAGACGACGATTACTGCCGAGCAGACAACGAAATTGTTCCTCGCGAACATCGTGCGGCTACACGGCATCCCCTTGGCAATCTTCAGCGATCGTGACCCACGGTTCACGTCCAACTTTTGGACAAAAATCTGGCAACACTATGGCATACGTCTGCATTTGTTCATGGCGTACCACCCGCAATCGGACGGCCAGACTGAGCACACCAATCAGAGGATGGAGCAGCTGATTCGCACGACATGCACAGACCCGGCCCAATGGGAAGACGCCCTACCCTAGATCGAGTTTGCGTACAACAACGCCTCATCGGCCATGACTATGCAGCCCCCGTTCTTCGTTAAAGCCCGCGGCCCAAATTGCGAGGCGCGGCCTTCAAACGCACTGCATTTGACAGTCGCGTTTTCGTGGGTGGAGATGGGGGTAACATGACTCGCATCACTTGGGGGTGTTGTTCAAGTTCAGTGCAGAAGGTATTTTGGGACACCAAGTGCCTCGCGTTTTTTGGCCGTCCATATTTTGTGGATTCCCATCTGACGGTGCGCAAGCAAAGTTTTTCCCCCTGTCAATCTAAATGTAATTTCAGCCGTCGCACTGCGTGCAAGAAAATCTGACGGTCCACGACAGATTGTGAATTCGCGAGATGAAACACCCTCACGATTTTCCGCGTATTTCGTCCAGGCCGAGGCTCAAATTTCATACGCAACGCGTGTCAACAATTTGGGCCGCGGGTTTTAATTTCGGGATAGATACGACAACCCCTCGTCTAAGTTGTTTAATGACTGCACATTCAATCTGTTTTTTCTTCTATATTGTTCCAGTACCGCACATTTGGTATGATGAAGATAGTGCGGTACACCGCTTTGCGCTAGTATGATCCTCCTGGGATATCCTTAAAGCCCAAAAAAATAATCCTGTTCTGGCTTTCCTTTCGCGCTAATTGGTTCTGTTCTGGCTCTCGAAGTTGTCTCTTGGGAAACACGCAGGATAGATTTTCGAAATTGCCTGCCTCTCCCAAACTCCCTCCCCAAACCTGCCTCACCCCTGGATCTCCTTGCTTCCCGTGGCCTTAGGGAACCCGTACAGAACGATTATAAATCTAGCTAGCTCTGCTAAGGAGGGTCTGTCCTGGCTTGACCCACTTAGTCTTGCTTGACGACAGATCTTCCTCGATCTACTCGCCTTCGTCGATAGTGGCTCCGGTGTATTAGTTTCCTGACGTGATTGTTCTTTTTGTTACGGTCTTGACCCTCTATTCGTCGGAATTTGGAATTGATCCGTGGAGCTTGCTTCGTGGAGATTGTACTTGAGCTCTCGCCGGTTGTAAGCTCGCCTTCCCATGGCGTCCGCGGCAGCAACTGCGACAGCCATGGACGTGGTCGCGCCGAAGCCGACCACTCTCGTCGAGACACGTCACGATACTGACGTGGCCGTGGCTGACGAGGCCGGGCTGCACGAAGATCTTTACGCGCGGCTCAAATCTCTCCAACGTCAGCTCGAATTCGTTGAGATCCAGGAGGAGTATATTAAAGACGAGCAGAAGAACTTAAAGCGCGAGCTGCTACGGGCACAGGAGGAGGTAAAGCGGATCCAGTCGGTCCCGCTCGTGATTGGCCAATTCCTCGAGATGGTCGACGCGAACGCGGGGATCGTCGGATCGACCACCGGGTCGAACTACTACGTCCGGATTCTAAGCACGATTAATCGCGAGCTGCTAAGGCCGTCGTCGTCCGTCGCGCTGCACCGGCACTCGAACGCGCTCGTCGACGTGCTGCCGCCCGAAGCCGACTCGAGCATCTCGCTGCTGAGCCAATCGGAGAAGCCCGACGTGACTTACACCGTGCGTATGGGAGGGGGGTAGGCATGGGAGGGGGTAGGTATGGAAGGGGAATAGGAGAAGGTGGGTTGTCGATTCAAAGCCCGAGCGGTCAGGGTAAGGCTTCCGATGTCGAGGAAGGGAAAAAGGTTTGGGTGGTCGCCGAATTCCGATGACGAGGAGCGGCGACGAGGTTGAGAAATTAGGTGCCGTCGATGCAAGGGAGGTGTCGGTGCGTGAAGAGAGTAGCGTGTGAGTAGGGTGTGATTTCAAGTATCAAATAATAAGCGTGAGGTGCGGGTTGTGCGTCAGCCGGTTGGGGATCATTCAGACGTTTTTCGCACGTGCGCATGGGCGCGGGTCCAGGCTGTCGGGATCGGGATGGGATGGGGTGCGGTGGGATAGGGTTGGGTGGGTTGCGGGTCCTTTTGGTGTGTGCAACGCCCCGATTGTTGCGTGCTGGGCCTCGGGTTGTGGTAAGAGTGTGGCATGGCATGCCGGTGCGCTGTTCCTTGTTCCTAGTCGCATGGTTGTTGGATTAGTCTGCCGGCCCTTTTCTCTGAATCCGCTATGCCGATTCTCCTCCCTCCCCACACGCTCTCCGGTTGCCCCGCTCGCTTCCCTCCCACGCGCACGCGGCTGCCTTCTCCCCTTCCCCCTCCCCCTCTTCCCCCCCCTTCTTCCCCCCTAATCTCAGGACATCGGCTGGTGCGACATTCAGAAGCAGGAGATTCGCGTGGCGGTGGAGGTCCCTCGCACGCATTTCGAGCTTTACCAGCAGATCGGCATCGATCCGGCCCTCCCTCCCTCCCTCCCTCCCTCCCTCCCTCCCTCCCTCCCTCCCTCCCTCCCTCCCTCCCTCCCGCGCTCTCGTCTCGCCGTTTCTCCTCCCACTCACCTCGTCCCCTTCTCCCCTTTCTCCCTTTTCCCCTCCCCCGTCTCCGCTTTTGTCCCCTCTCCCTTCCCCCCCCGCCCGTACCCCGCTCTCCTCCCCCTCTCCTACCCCCCCAGGACATCGGCGGGTGCGACATTCAGAAGCAGGAGATCCGCGAGGCCGTCGAGCTGCCCCTCACGCACTTCGAGCTGTACCAGCAGATCGGCATCGACCCGCCACGTGGCGTGCTGCTGTACGGCCCGCCCGGCACGGGCAAGACGATGCTGGCCAAGGCCGTCGCGCACCACACCACGGCGGCGTTCATCCGCGTCGTGGGGTCGGAGTTCGTGCAGAAGTACCTGGGAGAGGTGCGTGGGGCTTCTGAGTGGAGAGTTGTGCGCGTTTTTGAATGGTTAGGTGCGTGGGTGGTTGGTTGAAGATGGTTTGTGCTTGGTTCATCCGCGTCGTGGGGTCGGAGCTCGTGCAGAAGTACCTGGGAGAGGTGCGGCGGGTTGTTTGCGTGTGGTGGTGCGTGAATGGGGAGGTGTTTGTGCGTGGTTGGGTTGGTTGCGTGGGTTCATCCGCGTGGTGGGGTCGGAGTTCGTGCACAAATACCTGGGAGAGGTGCGGTGGGTGGGAGAAGGGAGAGGTGTGGTGGTGTCTGAGTGGGGTGGGGGAGAGGTTCGATGGGTGGTGGTTTGAGGATGGCTGGTTGGGATGGATTGCGCTGGCTGGTTTGTCTGCGTCATGGGGTTGGAATTCGTGGGGTCGTTCGTGCACAAGTACCTGGGAGCGGTGAGGTGCGTCGTTGGGCTCTTGGAAAGTCGTCTGGATCAGCATACCTCCACCACCGCCACCCACTCCTCCCCTCCGCTCCCCACTTCCCCCTCCCCCCTCCCCACTCCCCCCGCTCCCCGCTTTCCGCCCCCCCGTCTCCCCGCCGCCCTCTCCCCCGGTCCGCGTCTCCCCCTCTCCCTCCCCCTCGCCTCCGCCCGCCCCTTGTTTCACCCATCCCCCCCTCCCCCCCGCCCTACAGGGTTCGCGCATGGTGCACGACGTGTTCCGCCTGGCGAAGGAGAACGCGCCCGCCATCAGCTTCATCGACGAGATGTGCTCTTCGTTGGTTCTTTCAGAAGTCGTCTCGATAAGCATACGTCCACCACCACCACTCACTCCTCCCCCCAAACTCCGCCTCCCCCGGCGCCCCCTCTCCCCCTCCTGTCTCCCCCTCTCCCCCCGACGTGGCACGCTAACAGGGTCCGCGCATGGTGCGCGACGTGTTCCGCCTGGCGAAGGAGAACGCGCCTGCCATCATCTTCATCGACGAGATCGACGCCATCGCCACCGCGCGCTTCGACGCGCAGACGGGCGCGGACCGCGAGGTGCAGCGCATCCTCATGGAGCTGCTCAACCAGGTGCGCGTGTATGGGGGGTGTGGGGCGTGGGAGCTGTGGGGTGTGGGGGGGGGGGGGAGGTTGGGGGGTAAAGGGGAGGGGGGGGGATGAGGCGTGTCAAGAGGCAGTCGGGCGCGGACAGGGAGGTGCAGCGCATCCTCATGGAGCTGCTCACTTAGGTGGGGGAGAGGGGGGGGGGTGGGGGGGGGCTGCAAAGAGCCGGCTGCAGGGGGCCTGTTATCTCTTCTCTTCCCCCCTCCCCCCCCCCCCTCGTCCCCCTTCTCTGTCGCCCGCACCAGATGGACGGCTTGGATCAGACAGGGAACGTGAAGGTGATCATGGCCACCAACCGCGCTGAGAGTTCTTCGCTTGCTTGTGTGTTTTCCGTCTCTTCTCCCCCCTCCTCCTCTTCTTGCCCTGGCCCTTTTTAACTAACCCCAGATACCAGTTGGTGAACGTGAAGGGGATCATGGCCACCAACCACCATGGCAGCATCATCCCACTTCCTTGTGTCTTTGCCATCTCTTCTCTTCCCCACCCCACCCCTCCTCCCAGCTTCCCCTCGCCCACCTCGTCTGTTGCCCACACCAGATGGACGGCTTTGACCAGGCGGTGAGAGTGAAGGACTTTATGGCTTCCAACCGCGCCGACAGCACCAGCCTCACTTTGCCTTCTCCCTCTCCCCCCCTTTCCTCCCGTCCCCCCCCCCTCCCCCCCCCTCCCCCCCCCCGCTATTTCCAGATGGACGGCTTTGACCAGACGGTGAACGTGAAGGTGATCATGGCCACCAACCGCGCTGACACGCTGGACCCCGCACTGCTCCGGCCAGGGCGGCTTGACAGGAAGATCGAGTTCCCGCTGCCCGACAGGCGGCAGAAGCGCCTCGTGTTCCAGGTGCGCTGTGAGGGGAGATGAGGGAAGATGAGGGAAGATGTGCTGTCGGGTGTGCGGTGTGTGCTGCTGGTACGTGTGCTTTGGGTCGCTCAGGCCAGGGCGTTTTGACAGGAAGGTCGAGTTCCCGCTGCCGGATCGGCGGCAGAAGCGCCTCGTCTTCCAGGTGCGCTGTGTTCCAAGTGGCAGAAGCGAGGGCTTTCTGCTGGGTGTGCTGCCGGGTGTGCTGCTGGGTGGGTTTCAAAGGGTTGTGAAAGCGCAGATTGAAGGTGATTGTGAATGTCCACCCCAAGCTGACGTGGCAGTCATATTGACACCCTGTAAATTGTATCTCTCTGTCATTCTTGATCTGTTTTTTCTGCTCGTTTCTCGCTGCTGCTGCTCATGTGGACCTTCCCGTGCCTTTCGCTTCGTGCTCCCCCTCACCCTCCTCCCATTCCTGCTCCTCCCCCGCCGGTCTCTCTCTCTCTCTCCTTCCCCCTGTCTCTCTTTCCCCCTGTCTCTCTCCCTCCCCCGTCTCTCTCCCCTCTCGCCCCCATCGGTGCTCTCGTCCAGGTGTGCACGGCTAAGATGAATCTGAGTGAGGAGGTGGAGCTCGAGGACTATGTCTCCCGCCCCGACAAGATCTCTGCTGCTGATGTAAGCATGCTCGGTTGTTCTTGTTGTCGTTTTTCATGCCAACTTTGCATGATGCCCCTCCGTGCTACTTGATTTCCTTTGCTTCTCCTCCTCTTCCCTCCGTCCGTGTGCTGCACTCTTACATCTCTCCGCCAGTTGCTAGGAAGTGGCTATGTATGCAGGGTGCGCAAGCTTACCCACATTCATGTGGCAATCCACCCCTGATTCCCTTAGCGTTGCCCTCAGCGTTGCCCTCAACCCTGGAGTGCTGCGCCACTCACTCCAGATCTCGGCCATCTGCCAGGAGACGGGCATGCCATGCACACGGTACGCAAGACAGGTGTCAGCCCACTCATTTGTGTAATCCTGTTTCTCTCCCCCTTCCCTTCTGCTCTCGCCGTGCCACTCCCCCAGATCTCGGCCATCTGCCAGGAGGCGGGCATGCACGCAGTGCGCAAGAACCGGTACGTCATTCTGCCCAAGGACTTTGACAAGGGGTACCGCTCACACGTCAAGAAGTCCGACACCGACTTTGAGTTCTACCGCTAGACAGGCTGTTGGGGGGAGGGGGAGGCAGGGAGGAGGAGAGAGGTGTGGGGAGGGAAGGTGTTGGAGAGAGTGGGTCGAGAGGGGTGCTGTAGGGTGCTGGTGCGGAATGCTTTGTGAAGAGCAGGGGGGATTGGTTGCTTGACAGTTGTACAGGTGGAGTTGGGCGGAAGTTGGGGGGATGTGGATGAGGAGGAAAGGAGGGGGCAGTGTGCGGTGCAGTGAGGGAAGGGTAGCATTACCTGTGTTGTTGACTCTGACTTGACTGTCTGTTTGAGCACTGAGTACCGTATGTTTCACTGTGCTCTTGTGTGACAACTATGTACATCTTTCATTCTTCTGTGAAGAGTTTTTTCAACGACCAGTAGCAATGCTGCTTGCAGATGCAGACCCCCTCCACTATCCATGATGGAACAGTATCTATTGATGTCCAAGGAAGAGAAGACTAGGAGCGGAGTGGCATCGAATCTACAAACAATCCTATTCTTAACTGCAGTTGGTGCTGATTAGGAGCCCTCTGTAAGTTACTGTGACGCACAATCCTCTCAATGTAACCTTTTATTTCCCTCCAGCTTGTAGTGACTCATTCCGACTGCCTATCACCCTAGTACACTATTTAGTGCTTCCTGATTCTGGTAATTTGAAACCAGTCATCCTCCTTCACTTGCTGTACATTCCAAGACGAGGAATTCTAATCGTCTTCCTCGTTAGCCATCGACGGCAGTAGAAGAACCTTGTCCGTGCCCACCGCCGTGAAATACGGGCCCGTGTAGATATGCGCGACGGTCACCGTCACCTTAGTGGCCGGCGTGCCGCCTCGCAGATTAAACGCCACGACCTTATCGTTCTTGGCGGTCGTTTTCCGCACGGGAATGCCTTGCGCGGTCGGCAGAAGCACCTTCGGAAGCGACTGGAGCTTCTTGTAAGTGTGGAATCCGCGCAGGCACGCGAATTTGGTGGTGCCGTAGATGGGATCTGGTCTGAATACGCTGAATCTGGACACGACGGCTTTCATGGCCAGGTCCCCCGGTACAAGCACCGTGCAGTTGGCGAATACACTCACGCTGTACTTAGATGGGACGTTGTACTTGTTGACTGTAACGGAGAAGGCAATTGGGGGAGGGGGAGGGAATGGGGAGAGGGGGCCAAACGGAGACGGAGAAGGTGTTGTTGGGATGATTACAGGAGACTGAAAATGGGACGAAGTGACTTTTGAGTCGAGTCAAAAGTCACCACGGGCCAAGCGGAGAGGGAGGGGATGTGTTGTTGGGATGATCGCTGGAGACTGAAAATGGGATGAAGGAGGGTACGGAATAGGTCTCGCCATGGTGCCACGGGGCTTTGTTATTTGGGCGTGAAAGTCACGAACGGCTCGCCAAACGAGGTGTATGAAACCAAGGACGCGTAGAGAGAGTAGTCAACTAAAGAGTCAAAATTTGAGTCGGCTCAAAATTCAAACGGAGTGCATGAAATCAAGGACGTAAGTGAGGGTAGTAATCTACAGAGTAGACAAAAAAGCTCCTCACGTCCTTGCGCGAGCTTGATGCCGAACTGCTTGTGCGACGGCACCTTCTGCATCGCCGCCGCGAGCTTCTTAACCTCCGCTTTCATCGCCGCGTAGCTCGGCGCTGCTTCCGCGGCTTTTAAGTGGGAGGCGAGGGATAGAGAGAGGAGCACCACGCATACAAGGAAAGGAGCGATGAAAGGGGCGTCTATGGATTTTTCCGCAGAGCGATGGCGAGCTACGGAGCTTCTGAATTTACCCCGGGTGCAAGTTGCAGGAGCCATGGCCCTATTATTTGCTCAGGCAGATGCTCTTGTTGCGGAAATGAAGGGAAGTGAGAGCGTGAAATGGTGGTTGTATCTAACGCGGAGAGCTAAGGTAATAGATCGAGTGTGAGATGTTTCGTCTGAGGAAATTTATAGGTGTGATGGACGAAGGGAGAAGGGAATTGTTCTGCTCCCCGGCTGGGTGGTCCCTCCCTCCGCGGCATCGTGTGGAGCAAATTTCCTTGCTCGCACATCGAACCGCGCGCAATGAATTCCCCTCGAAAACCCATCACAATCAGGAACGACCGCGGTGCGGGAGGTATACCTCATCACCCTGCAGCATCTGGACTGGAAAAACATCCGCACAGGATGGCAAAAGTTTTACGATGTTACGGGGAGGAGCGGGAAACACCCTCTTGTGAATGAGGTAATACTAGAATGTCTAATTACTTTAGTGATACTACACTTTTCTTGTAGGCCAAGATGGAGAGCTGAAATCGCTGAAGTTTAGCCTCACACTGACCCTCTCGCATCCGGGCACGAGCACAAACCAATCCAAGGCCCTGGGGGGAGACCTGACCAAGGTCGCATCGCATGTCCCGTAGCCCACAGACAAGCAAACCCTGGCGTTGTCTGTGCGAGCTGGTCGGCTGCTGCACCGACTCTTCACGAATAAATTTCGTGTGTGATGACCAATCATCTGGATCGTTTAGCTGGAGTTGCGATGCTCGCACGACTCCGACGTGTGCGATGCGACCTTGCATCCTCACGAGGAGGTCGTTGAAATGCTCCACCACACCAGCTCACAGTGTAAGGAATTTTATTCCTTACCGGGTTGTACTGCAATCGCGTACACCCGAACTCTCGGAACACCCAGCTCGGTTCGTTTCCGAGGCGACCCCGAGGCACGCACGCGCCCCCTCCGAACCTTTCGACCGCGCCTGTACCCAACCTAGCCTTCCGGCTTCGTCGCCTAGCTAGAACTCTCCCTATATAATGCTAGGCTAGCATTCTTGTACTCGTCATTATTATTCCGCGCACTCTCAGTTATTATTCATAACATCTGGTATCAGAGCTACTTTCCTGGTTCACCCCGCTTTCTCAGGGTAGTTTATTTCCAAGGCGTGGTTAACCCTGCGGGGCTGCAAAGCGGTTGTCCGTGAGCTAGAGTTATTAGCTCACACAACTACGATAGCGTTTGCGCCCCCTACGGTTTCTTACCACGGCCTTCCCCCTGCCCGAAAGGCGTAGCATTCGCATCATGTCCCAAGCCCAGCTCGACGAGGTCATGGCTCAGATGCAGGCAATGCAAGCCCAGATGGCGAGTTTGAACAGTGAAGTCGTGAGACTTCGGACAGAAAACACCGAGCTTCGCCAGACGCGTAGTGAAGCGCGTCAGGAGTCGCCTGGAGTCGCCGAAGACGATGTCAAGCAAGGTGCCGACGACGCAGCGAGCGAAACCGTCCTTGACGAACTCGCACGGGAGTTGGAGCAGGACGATGTGCGCACTGTGACCGTAACGAAGATAAAACTCAAGCCAGCAACACCGCCCCCGTTCAACCCTTCGGACAAGGCGACGACGGTGCAAGGGTGGCTGTTTAGCATGGAGCTGTTCTTCACGGCGGCAAGTGTACACACGGACGACGCACGCATTAATTATGCTGTGTCACTGCTTCGAGGCCCAGCGTTGGATTGGTGGCGCCGACAGTTGGCGATTGGGACTCCGGCAGGAGTGAAGCAGGCGAAGGACACGACTTCGGACTCTTCAAACCAACAGGCAGAGACGATATTCGGTACGACCACGATTCGCACGTGGAAACAGTGGGGCACAGCTCTGCGAGCTCGTTTTGAGCACTCATCCGCCTCAGACGACGCTCGCATGAAGCTGCACAACTGGCGGCAGGTGACTACTGTCCAAGATTACACTGCGTCGTTCTCGGCACTTGCGGACCAAGTCGACGACCTCAGCGAAGCGGAAAGGCGGGACAAATACGTGAGCGGGCTGCATTTCGACATTCAATACGAGTTGCAGCGGTCCCGTCCCAAGACGTTCGATGAGGTTGTCCAACTGGCGTCAGCAGCCGATGCACTGCAGCAGTGGGCGAGAATGAACAACAGGGATGTTGGTCGTTTTCGTGGACAGTCTCCCCGCCCCACGATCAATGGCGTGTCAGCGCCCGATGAAATATTTCACGGGCTATGTTTTCAATGTGACAAGCCAGGTCACCGAGCTAAGTACTGCCCGACGGCGCCCAAGAAGACGAAGAACGACAAGGAGAAGCCGGGAAATGGGAAAAGTCAGTAGCAGACGGGCCCCCTACTGACGAGGCTTTGTCGCCCGAACTTCAACGTTCCCACCAAGTTGTGGTACCGATACACGCTATCGACCGCACTCGGACGAATAACGGGAGCGAACCTGAAGATCACCCTGTGCTGGTTGAAGGCAAGGTTAATGGCAAAAAAATAAAAATATTTGTGGATGGCGGAGCTAGTCACAGTCTCATCCACGTAACAACGGCGAAGCAGTTGAAGCTGGCGTTGGAAAAATGTCTTCCCGAAATCGACGCGAGACTGGTGGACGGAACTCCACTTGCAATTCGAGAACGAGCGCGCATGGTGCGGATGAAGTGTGGCGACTACTTCGGGTTCAGCATGCCCATGCTGGCCACGACGCTGGACGGCTGCGACATTCTGCTTGGGCGTGATTGGCTGCGAAAATACAACCCGAGGATCGACTGGACAACTGGCGAATGCAGCGTAAACTGTGCGAACGGGTGGAACGTACTTCCATGCTGGCGGGGAAGGGATCCGGTGTCGACATGTGTCAACGCCATCACCCTCCAGCGAGCAGTTAAAAGGGGAGCTGATTTGTACGCCGTCCACCTGGCCGAAGCGACGGTCAACAACACGCCAAAGGACATCGACACTCTTTGTGCCAATGTTCCTGCCGAGCTCGCCGCGCTGATTCGACAGTACCCGGATATTTTTCCGGATGACCTGCCAGCAGGGTTGCCACCTGAGCGACCACAGGACCACAAAATTGACCTGGAACCCGGCGCGCAGCCTACAGTCAGGACCCAGTGGCGGCTGACTCAGCCCGAACTCACGGAGTTGCGAAGCCAGCTGGACTACCTTTTGGAAAAAGGTTTCATCCGGCCCAGCACGTCCCCGTTCGCAGCGCCTATCCTGTTCACGCCGAAGAAAGACGGGGGGCTGCGAATGTGCATCGACTACAGGGCGCTGAACCGACGAACCATAAAGTCTCGTTACCCAATCCCACGCGCCGACGATCTTCTCGATCAACTTCGCGGAGCTCGCTTCTTCTCGAAAATCGACTTGCGCGGCGGTTACCATCAGATCAGAGTCTTCGCTGACGACTGCCACAAGACGGCGTTCCGCACCCGGTATGGCAGCTACGAGTACACCGTAATGCCGTTTGGCCTCACGAACGCGCCCTCCACTTTCCAACTTACCATGAATGGCGTATTCCGCGACCTCCTCGACAAGTGTGTCATTGTCTACCTTGATGACATCCTCATCTACAGCAAGACACAAGAACAGCACCTCAAGGACCTTGAGAAAGTCTTCTAGCGGCTGCAAGAACACCGCCTCATCACGAAGGGCTCTAAGTGCGAGTTCCTAAAATCCGAACTGGAATTTTTGGGACATGTCGTGGGAGCAGACGGCATTAAAATCGACCCGAAGAAAATCACCACGATTCGCGACTGGAAGCCGCCGGCGAATTTACAGGAGCTGCAGAGTTTTCTCGGGTTCGTTAATTACGTCAGGCGGTTTATCCCCAATATGGCAGGGATCGGGGGACCGTTAACTGACCTGCTGCGGAAGGGCACTTTGTTTGAGTGGGGGGAGAGACAGCAGACTGCTTTCGATGAACTGCGAAAATTTCTGACGTCGCCCCCGGTCCTCCGAATCGCTGACCCATCTCGACCGTTCGAAGTCTTGACGGACGCTAGCGATTTCGCCATCGGAGCGATACTGTTACAAGATTTCGGCGACGGACTCCAACCCATCGCGTATGAGTCCCGGAAGTTGCAGGCAGCCGAGCGCAACTACCTCGTCCACGACAAAGAAATGCTCGCCATCGTGCACGCATTCAAAGTGTGGCGATGCTACCTGACGGGAGCCGACGTGACAGTACGGACAGACCATAAATCCCTACAGTACCTCCGCGCGCAGCCGAACCTCAACCCACGACAGATTCGCTGGCTGGACTTCCTCGAAAGCAACTTCCACTACACCATCACATACAAACGTGGGGCGAATAACATCGCCGACGCACTGACACGACCGTCCGCCCATCTCGCCTCCGTCATCATCACAAAATCAAACCCACTGCTCACCGGACTATTTACCCATGGCTACAACACCGACCCCTTTTTCACCCGCAACCTCCACCACCAAGCCACCATAGCCGAGGGACCCTACTTCCTCAAAGCCGGTACTGATCGTATCTGGGTTCCCGCCTACAGACTCCTCCGCGAATTACTTATTCAAGAAGTCCACGATTCTAACCTCTCCGGTCATTTCGGGGTTGACAAAACCCAGAAGTTACTTCACCGTTTTTATTATTGGCCTGATTCAGCGTCTGATGTGGAGAGATACGTATCTGCGTGCCCGATCTGCCAACGCATGAAGTCTTCTCGACAGTGACCAGCTGGCCTGCTGCAACCACTCGAGCCACCCCAGCGACCGTGGCAACATGTGACGATGGACTTCGTCACAGGGCTCCCGGCAGCAGCCACGGGCAACGACGCCGTGCTGGTCGTCGTCGATCGACTGACGAAGATGGCACATTTCGCACCCTGTCGTACAACAATCACAGCCGAAGACACCGCGAAGCTTTTCATCTCCACCGTTGTCCGCCTGCACGGCCTACCCTCAGCGATCATCAGCGACCGCGACCCCAAATTCACGTCGAAGTTCTGGCAGGAGACATGGGCCCAGTACGGCACACGCCTCCAATTCTCCTCCGCCTACCACCCTCAAACCGACGGGCAAACTGAAAGGACCAATCAGACCATGGAGCAGCTCATACGCACCAACTGCCCCGATCCTGCCCGGTGGGAAGAATTTCTGCCCATGCTGGAACT